AATTGTGATAGATTTCTATTTAAATATAATATTTTTATATAGCAGAAGTTAGATCTTTAAAAATATAATACAATTATAGTGTGCATATTTTCCATATCAGATATAGGGTTAATATAATAAGAATAAAATTGTATAAATTCTCATATTATTGATATTAACAATGATTACTTTAACATTTTATGCATCAAACTTCAATTGTACTATTATATCATAGTTTTACAAAGAAATTACACAGCATTAGTAAAAACTATTCCTACTTTCACAATAAGATGAAATACTTACACTTCAAAGGCTATCATTATTGAATATTATCAGAAAGAAAGTGATGTGTAACATGTATCATATGCTTCAGAATTATGTGAAGATGTGGATGACAATGTATTAGTAGTTAAAGGTGTAGATATGGGTCAGAACATGTCATCATGGCCCATATCTGGAATATATGATAAACCTCGTTCTTTCAAAGCTTTATTTATTAGTCGTTTTTGATCCTGTTTTAATTCTTGTTCTCGTCTTTGTGCATCCAAAATATCATCTACAGATACTTCAGTTAATGGTAAATCCCTTTCTTTATCTCTGTCCTATAATAAAAATTATATTGTCTTATTAATAAATTTAGAATGCATTCCCTTTTAAGTGAGACAATTTATATGCAAAAATATTACTATTTCTCCTAAAAGCACAACATTTTCTCCTCTCACAATAAAAATGCCTCTTGGGATGTCTCCATATTCTTTGCCAACATGAATTCTTTCAATTGTACGATGAAGCACAATATTAGCAAATTGATCAACACTTCTAAGGTATCCAATTAAGGTTCTGCCATCTCTTAGTAAAACCATAAGTTTTTCTAAACCAGAATTACATGTGATATTCCATAATAATGAAAATAACTCTTATCAATGTAAATATTAAGATAAACAAAGTGAATTAAATTTTATTGCAAGTATAGTCATATATGAGCGGTTGGAAAAAATATATGAAAATGCACGCTTAACCTTTAAATAATGAAATTTTCTATTATAAATAAAAATATTAATACTATATTGTATAAATATAAATCGCTTTAGTTTTAAAGAACAGAATATAAGTATATAATAACATACCGGCATAACCTAACAAATGGCATATTCAAACACAAATACGTACTGTCAAGTTCTTCAAGAAGAGATGCCGTCCCTGGCAAAATGTTCATTTTGCAATTTCTTCTATTTCTTGTAGAAGTAGCTTTCAAATTAAAACAAATAAAAATCTTATACATTAGCTTAACCTGCAGTGAGATTCACAACTAAAACCATTTCGTTTGTTCGTCAATAATTGCTAGAACTATTTCAACTTGTTATTGCCGAATAAATAACGATCAGAAAATTTTTTACTACAAAATTAAAATAATGAAGTTCTAACTATTATTATTTCCACATTTTTCACTTGAGAGATCTACAGGAATCCATAAATTTTGGTGATCTTTTATTGGTCAGGTAAAATCTATTATTAATCTAAATCATCCCACAGTGAACAATAAATGTATTATAACTAAATTACAGGTTTTTATAATTCAATTATATACTATATGAACATGATATAATTATTGTGTTTTATTGAAGATAGATTATATAAATAAAATATTTTATAAATATAAATAGAGTAA